ATCACGTCACAAGGCGTTCCGCTGTCCAGATTTGGGGGAGGGGATAGTTGTGGTGGTGATGGTGATGGTGATGGGGGGGGGGGGGGGGGGGGGGGAGGGGGGAGGTGGTTTCTCTACGCATAATAATATATAATTAGTAAGAGTAAGAGTAGAGCTACCAAGATTATGCATGAAAGAAAGGCAGATCGAGGGGGTCCGATCTCATGCATTGCAGGTCAAGCAGGTCAGGTAGTAAAAAGAAAAGAAAAAAGGAGAAAAAAGAGAATAATAAAAAGTCGCAGATCAGACCAAGGCTTGGTATTAATATATCATGCAATACCCACCCGTATTCGATATCTTATTCCACTCTCCATGGCGTAAGATAGGTAACTACCATGACATAAGCCCCTGTACGCGGCGAACAATGTACGAGCATCGCTCTCACCTTGCGAGGCTTTCGAAGACGGTTAGCGACGGCAGGGGGGGTCGCACGTGGGAGGAGGGTGAGGAGAAATCCGTGTGTTGTGTGTGCGTGTGCGCGGTGATCCGATGTTCATTGAAGGGGAAAGTGTCGGATGAGACTGATGGTAGGGAAAGCTTTTCTTTTTCTTTTGAGCTGCTATGGTGTTGTGTGGTGATGTATTATTCGTTGCGTAATCTACTCGTAACAAGGCATTACAGGCATCATTACAGGCCTTACAGGCATCATTGCAGGTATGAGCAGGTGGAATAATACTGCGATACCCCGTCATCAGTCCGTAATACTGCTGTGAATATTGTTTCCTCTGCGAGATCAAGAGTTTTCTCTTTCTCCTCATTCTCGCAGGGGTATAGGGGTGTGGAAATGATGATGATGACGATGGTGATAATATGCAAATGTCCGATCTGTTCAGGGGTTCAGTTGGGATGATATCCGACCAGTACCGTGAACCAGTACCGTGGACCAGTACCGTGGACCAGTACCGCGGACCAGTACCGTGGGTCCTTGGTGATGAAGGTGAGCACGGAAAATTGTGATACTCTGTAAGAGAGAAAAGAAAGAAGAGAAGAGAGAGGAAAACGAGAGGAAGAAGAAGAGGGGAGAGGAAAAAAAGAAAAAAAAAGAAAGGAAAGAAGATAATAGTGCCGTGCAGCTGCCAGCCGCAGCTGGGAAATGTCTCGTCAGAAGAGTAGAGAGAGAAAAAAAAAAAAAGGAACGCGTGACCGGGTCATTTCCATCCGCCGTTCAGTCAGGGGGAGCACTCGTCCGTACCAGGGGCAAGAGTTTAGATGTTCAACACTTGAGCAGAGCAGTCTCGGGAACAGGAGGCCTTCGAGAACGGATGGATGGAGTGGCATGAGAAGACCCAGGTGTGGACGGGGGTGAGAGGGTGCAGACGGTGGAAGAGTGCAGACATGTCCCGCCAATTCGCCCACGCACTCACCCACTCTCCCTGGAGAGCTGGAACCGAGAAGTCAACCATCTGACCGTTGCCGATGGTGCGTGCTTGTCTTATACGTGGTATTTCGTCCTTCTTCCTATTGACATGTATCCCTCTTCCGATATAATGCCCCTCCCTCGCCATCTGTCTATCGCTTGCCCTTGTTATGCCCCTCCCGATGATCTAGGGAACGATTTTCAATCTGCGGAGCTGGGTAGTGCGATCCGGAGGGTTTGTGCCGGTGCTTAGCTACTGATATATCAATATATAGTATTGGTAGTCTTGTATAGTTGGCGGAATAGGTTTGTTTTTAGCAGAATTGTTCTGTATGTAGCAGGATTGATATTGACTGCTCTCGACCGTTGCTGTCAGTATTTGATACTATCGATCCTCCTCCTCCTCCTCCTCCTCCCCCTCTTCCTCCTT